CTGGTGAAGATTAAGGTTCGCTGGTTAATAGTAATCGGGCGAAATCCGCACGTAACTGCATGGTAACATGCAAACTAGATTAATTTTGTGCTTATCTGAAAGTATAAAGGCGAGCGTGCGTGTATATGGCACGCGTGTCATAGATACACCCGCGAAAGTGGCCGACGCTTTCTCGGTGTGTTGACTAAAGCTCAATGTTTGTTGAAGAACCGTCAATGACAATGCAAATTACGTGCGCATGCGCACACGCACCACCGACATTATTATGTAAAAACTCATAGTCAAAACTCATCTATTTAACATTGCATTTAACACATAAACATTATATTTTTAGGTGTACATTTGATTTGAGTTCTATTTTATTGAAAATGATATATTATTGTCGTTTTTAGGATCTATATTTTACAATGTTGCAGTCCGCTATTTATAATCAGGAATTGTTATAGGATCGTCGTAATTTAAGTATCTATATTTTACAGTGTTGCAGTCCGCTGTTTTATAATCAGCCTTTGTAATGTGCACGTGAACATATCTGAATGTAATGTGCGCAATACAAATCAATAAATATTATTATTATTATTAAAGAGGGGCAAGATTATACGGGTGTAAAAAAATGTAATCCTTTATTGTATTATACCTGATGTAAGAACACCCAACCTCTTTTTACGATACGCTACGCACTCACATACGCACGCATGCATGCACGCACGCACTAGTGCTCTTTGCAGATATGAAATGTCCACTTTCATTATAAGAATCATTTCTGTTGCCATCCGTGCGTGTTCGAAGCGAGTGTTCGAAGCGTTATCGACGCTGCGACGGCCTCACGCAACGAACGCCGCGTACCGGACACACACACACACACACAATCACCACACACACACACACCACCACCACACACACACCCACACACAACATCACACACCACACACGCACACACACACACTTCCACACACACATAGCACACACACACACACCACACACACACACAACACCACACACACAGCACAGCACACCACAACACAACACACACACACCAACAACACACACGCAACGCCACGCACGCACGCACGGCACGCACGCACGCACGCAAACGCACGCACAGCGAGCGCGCGCGCGCACACCACACACACACACACACACACACAGATAGAGAGAGATAGAGAAAGAGGGGGAGTGAGAGAGAGAGAGAGAGAGAGAGAGAGAGAGAGAGAGAGAGAGAGAGAGAGAGAGAGAGAGAGAGAGAGAGAGAGAGAGAGAGCGAGAGAGGAGAGACGCTGCATACTCGTCTGCTAAGATAATTCCCTCAGAGGAGACTGTGTTGGACATCTAATTATGTGTCTGGCCGATTTCTGTCGAGTCTGAGGAGCCGAAAACGCCGCGCAGAATGTTGCCCA